TTGAAAAAAAAAAAAAAAAGACCAATCCCGATAAAGTTGGACACTCTCATCCAACCACGCCGCGACTACCCTATCATTACGCTCGCTCGCAGAGGCAAACCTTAATCTCAAACTCCGGGGTTCTCGTGGCTTTCGATTTTTCTCGGGACACCTGGCTGCACGCGGCCCCAGCCCGGACACACCTAGCAATAGCAGCAGGTGAACAGAGTTGCTTTCAGAGCGAATCTCGCGCGACCGGCATATGCCGGAGATCGGGGCACCGGCGCACACCGGCTCTTCGTCGTCGACCTCGCGCGTCCCGATCAAAAAACACACGTACGAGAGAATACCTGCCGTATATATATATATGTATATATATATATATGTACACACCTTGTGTGTTCGCGCTGCGCGAACACACATGCATACACACGGGATGTATGCGCGTTTAGCAGATGTATCTCGTATCTGACACCTGCCAACCTGCAGCAACACAAAGACTTTGACTCAGGCCGGGCTCAAGCTGCAGCTGTTTCTCGGAAAAAAAAGATTTTTCATAATCTCTCATCCGATCTCTCATCTCTCGCGTTAATTTTAGCGCACTGATTTTTGACTATTCCGCAAAATTACTACGTGTTGTATGTTTTTTTTTTTTTTTTTTCTATGTAATGTGTATATCTCATTTTCCACACGAATTAGATTGACACACACGTCGCGAGATATATTTGCGCGCCGTACACGTAATAACGTCGGATTCCACTCGTATATACGTTCTCGGAATATCAGAATGCTCCGATGACTGTTTCTCGCAGTCGAGATGACGAGCGCGAGAGATGATGCTCGGGAGTCGCATTACAATTCCGTGAGCGACAGAGAGCGCTGCGACATTTAGCGGAACGGAATTCCCATCGCTTTTTCATCAGCATCGCCGCGAGCGATCTCGCTGCGGAAAACCGTACGTTAGAGAAATCCCCGGAGGAATGACGTGCACCACGGACGAGTCCGCGTATCTCGGCCTGATAAGCTTCTCCTTCGTCTACGACGACGACGACGACGACAACGTAGTCGTACAACGGCAGTATAGTTCCGCCATCCGCCATAGGTGACCGAGATACGTGCGCGAGAGCAAATTTCATCAATCTTTTAGCGTGTCGA